CAGTTGCATGGAAATCGTAAACTACTCAGGTGAAGAGAGGGAAATTTGCTTGAAGGTACCAATCGAGGTTTCAATGTTCAACATCGAAAACTACTTAGAAATTAATGTCATAAAGGACCATGGGAGAACAGACAGCAAAAAGGAATACAGTTCATTTAAAGACCTAAGGATGGAACATTTATACTCAGAGGAAAGGGAATCTTTAGAAAATCTAATTATTATTAATTATTCCCCCTACCTATTTTATAAAGAAGGAGACAAACTGGCATTTACCAGTAAGGTAAAACATACAATTAACACCACAGACAACATTCCCATATTTTCAAGACCAGGTAGAAAAGGAAGAGATTCGCAAACAATTAAATTGCTAGCTCAGAATATCATTAAACACAGCTACTCTCCATGGAGTGCTCCAGTTTTTCTAGTCCCTAAGAAAGCGGATGCATCTAACCAACAAAGGTGGAGACTAGTAGTGGACTTTAGGAAGCTAAACGAAAAGACGGTCAAGGATAGATACCCAATGCCAAATATTAACGAAGTGTTGGATAAAATAGGAAGAGCCAGATACTTTTCGACTTTAGAATTTAGCTAGTGGTTACCATCAAATAGAGATGGACCCGAAGGACAGATCTAAAATAGCCTTTTCGGCTAAAGGAGGGCATTTTGAATTTATTAGAATGCCTTTCGGGCTATCAAACGTCCCAGCTACCTTTCAAAGAGTTATGGACAATATACTATATATTTAGATGATATTATAATTTTCTCATCTTCACTGCAACAATACATATATCACTTAAATGCTATATTCAAAAAACTTAGTGAGGCAAACCTAAAACTTCAACCTGATAAATCAGAGTTCCTGAAGAGGGAAATAGAATACCTTGATCATGTGGTCTCGGATGAAGGTATTAAACCCAATCCGAAGAAAATTTCCGCTATAAAAGCTTTCCCTATTCCCAAAACTAGAACCCAAATTAAATCTTTTCTGGGCTCATTGGGGTATTATAGGAAATTCATAAAAGACTTCGCTAAAATAACGAAACCTCTGACCAGGTTATTAAAGAGCGATGCAAATATAGTAATCGACGAGGAATATACAAAAGCTTTCGAATTCTGCAAGACATTACTCTGCAACGACCCCATTTTACAATACCCGGACTTTAAAAAACCTTTTATACTAACCACGGACGCTAGTAACGTCGTCATTGGGGGCGATACTCTTACAAGGCTCTGTGGGCAGTGATCGTCCAGAGAGTCACTACTCCACGATAAAAAAGGAATTACTAGCAATTGTTTGGGCCGTTAAGTATTTTCGACCTTATCTATTTGGTCAAAAGTTCACTCTGATCACTGATCATAAACCGCTAGTATGGCTCAAAAACCTGAAAGAACCAAACTCAATGCTTGTAAGATGGAAGTTGCAACTCTTAGAATACGATTGCGATGTCGTGTACAAGAAGGGCGCCCTAAACGTGGTAGCGGATGCGCTGAGCAGAATCATTATAGATGTGAATAATAGCGATACTACAGTAATTCATATAAACGACGAAATCTTAAATTCAAGGAAACCTCTAAACGAATATTGCATACAATTAATTTTCAAAGAGGCCGATCCTCCAAATTACACTATAGAAACCCCATTCAAGAACAAGATTAGGCGTACTATAGGAAAGCCCAAATTCAAGTTAGAAGACATAACAAAAACACTGAGGGAGATCCTAAAACCGAACAGAACGTATGCTGTATCTACAACAAACACGATATTTAAGTTAGTACAAGAAGCATATTCTAAGTTCTTTGCTCCAGCTAAACGCTATAAAATGATTATGTGTGATATACTACTGGAGGAAATCCAAATACCTGAGAAGCAAATTGAACATATTTCACAATACCATACCAAAAACAACCATCGAGGTATCGATGAGACAGTTAGTCACATAGGACGTAGAGTTTATTTTCCAGCCATGAAAGAAAAGGTGACTCAATTCATTAAATATGACCGGCAACCGCAAAAACTTGTATTTCAAAAAACAGAAACTCCAAGCAATCTGCTAGAAATTATACATATAGACCTATACACAATCAATTGAAGAACAATCCTAACAATCATCGATAAATTTTCCAAATATGCCGATGGATTTACTATCCCATCTAGGGATGCCATAAACATCACGAAACACATGATGTTTACACTCTGTACATGAAATGTACAGAAGTATATTAGGTTTGCGGGAGGCAGAAGGAGGCGTGGCAGACCCCACAAAGTATATATATTCTTGATCAGCATGACGAGACGAGTCGATCTAGCCCTATCTGTCTACTCAAGCGCTGCGCGCGGATGTTGTTGATACTGGTGCTTTGGTTGACGTTTACACAGACACGAATAGATGCGCATAGGCATACATACACTCACACAGACGCAATTGCTATGTAAATGTGCAATTATAAACCCTTTACGTGAGTTCGAATACTGAGAGAGGTAAAAACAATCAAATTTTTTTTTTATTTTCTTAATTTTTTTATTTTCTATAATTATTGTAAACATATGTACAGAGTATTTCAAAGTCGGAACACCCGACTTTAGCTTTTTTACTTGTTTTCTTTTAAACCCAAGGCAATCCTAAAAAGATAGTTTGTGACCAAGGTCCCGAGTTTTCAGGGTTATTGTTTAAAGAATTATGTGAACAATGCAATATTGAGTTGAATATTACTTCTTTCCAACAGTCGACCAGCAATGCCCCTGTCTAAAGATTACACTCATCTTTGACTGAAATATATAGGATAAGCGTAGATAAAAAGAAATCAATGAAGTTATCCGAAGATCATGAAAGTACACTAGCAGAAACTTTTCTCACCTATAATAAAGCGATTCATTCTACAACAAAGCTAACACCCTACGAACTTTTCACAGGCCGTACACATCTCTTTGAAAGAGACTTTAAAACAGTAAGTCAACAAGACTATCTGAAACAATTACATCTTTTTAGAGAGAAAATTTCCCCCGACATACATAAACAGGTATAGCAACTAAAAACAGCTAACGTGCAAAAACTAAATACAAACAGGGAAGACCCATCGACCCTACAGCAGGGAGATGTAGTATTTAGAAAAGAAAACAGAAGAAATAAGTTAACCCCTAGATTTACCAAGCACACGGTGGCAAAATATAACGGACCAACATTTGTTTCTACTAAACGGTCTATGTAGTGTAATTAAGATTGAACGGGAAACATGGACGCCAAAGATGCGTAAAAGATCGACCATCAATTTCAGAAAATAATAGAAAACGAGGAATTTATAAACTACAGTGCAAATGTCAATAAAGAAAATATTACTAAATTTCATAATATTACTGAGCATTTTAGTAGAGAGCAGAATGAAGTAAAGAATTACAAGAAGAAAATATTAAAATTCATATCCTCGAATTGAGCTAAAATATATCTACATGATATTAGAAGAACAAAAGATTAATATTAATTCTGAAGAGCAACTTTATAGAATGCTCACGGTGAATTTCGAAACTAAAGATATGAAAATCATATTTCATATTAAAATCCCTATCTTCGAATTGTAAGACTACCAATTAATGGCACAAAATTCCTAACTCTACCTAGATTCATAATGTACGATAAGGAAATAAATAATATGTTCAGTTTTACTAAGAAATGCCCTAGAATTAACAACCTATACATATGCGGAATCCTGGAGGCCGAGGACGAGTTTGTCAACAGGGAATGTCTCTCCGACATCTTGAAAGGAAAGGACCCTAAGTGTGGGGCGACAGTCTTCGACAAAACACAGGCCATCATCGAACCAGAGCAGCAGTGGATTATCTTAATCAACGAGAATTTCACCAACATCACTCCTAGCTGTGCAGACCCATTCAGCATGGAAGGTACCACAATTATCAACCACAAAAACTGTCCTGTTCGTATTGATAATATTACCTATGAAGACACCGAAATATTCTACGAGGAAGACATCAAAATGCAATTACCTCACGTCGAAAACATCACGATCGATATGGTACCAGAAGACCTATCACTGGATATGATGCAGTTGAGTTTGATGAAGAATCAATACGAAGTACGGCATATAAAAGAAGTATCACTCAGTCACTACATTTTGACTTACATTCTTATCGGCGCTCTGGTACTCGCCCTGACTTATCGAACATGTTTTAGAAGGAGGAAGCTGACCATCTCACCACCGGCTCAAGTGAATTATGTGACGCCCATTCCCTCCCTCTGGCTGTCACTTAATTCTGGGGAGGGAGGAGTTACCATAGCAATACCAGCCATGTGCCCTTCAAAACCGCCTCGCCCAGCATCTGCCTACAATTAGGTTCCACATTGTATTCCGGGATGACTGAACGATGAAACAAGCTGACGAAGTGTCTGGTTGCAGCATAGGAAATGACTCAGCAACTCGTGGGACAAATATTAATGCTGACCCAGCATTCTGGCACATTTGTGTACATTAAGAAATACACAATGTTGAGTTAAGTTGCTTTTAAGAATTCTTATACACATAGTTAGTTGTATTCTAGACTTAAAAGGAAAGAGACGTCTTTTGCGAATAAAACTTCTATCAAAACTCAACCAGTGTCTATCTTTTGCAAAGGAACTTCAAGTGAATTTCAAACAGAATAAATCAGTTCAGGATCCACTGGAAGGCACAGAAGGAGGTCCTCATACCCACTATAACTCCCGCAGCTTTTGTAGTTGTTACTGTGTTGCACAGGCACAAGAGGCATGCACAGACACATACAAACACACTTGCATATTTAATCTGCACATATGTACAGAGCACAAAGTCGGGACACCCGACTTTAGCTTCTCTACTTGTTATATATCATACATATATAGCATACACCCTTTTTTAACATTATGAAATTTCAAAAGTTGTCATAATTTCTAAAGGGAACCGAAAATACAAACAAAAACATAATAATACCTAACACATCGATGAGTTGATATCCTTATTTGTCGGTTTCACAGAACATGACCACTATAAAAAGCAATCATATCTTTTTCTGGACAACAGTATGTACTCTAATTATATGCATGATACTCATTGCAATGTATTCTGGATTTGAGCATGAAACAAAAAAATTTAAAACATTACTGGTGACGGTGGTACTTGTACTACTTTTCCAGTATCTAATTGGTGATCCAATTAAATTCGCATTGCTTGCTATTGACTCAGCTTGTTGGCCCCCACAACAACGAAAGTTTGCCACTGACCGAGAAGCAACGCATCACAGTCGAATGGACTACCTAAAGTTAAGACTAAGCAGCCTACGATCTCAGTTGCTGCTTACAGAAGAACATCGCAATGAAAAGCTTAATGAGAAGTATAAACACATAGCACAGGATCTTTGGCTCTATGGCAAGTACTTTTTCTTTCTTATGTGTGTTGTGCTAGTGACACGCGACGCTACCATGTACCATAACACACACAACATTGAACGACTTTTTTATGCAAATCACACCGATTACTATGGCTTGCAAGAAGTTTACCATATCAACCAGTTATTTGATTTTATAGAATCGTCTCTGATCAATGCTTTTAACCCAAACACTAGCGAGACAGGCATCTCTGGTTGGGTTCATGGTGAACAGACAAAAATGCTCGGTGTTGTGCGATTACGGCAGCTACGCTTAACCATGGAAAATTATGGGCTGGACGAACCAGAATTCTCTGAACGGGATTACATGCCTGAATGGCAATTACCTCATCGACGCTTGCATTATACTGATAAGTATTGGCGGATTTACGAACCATGGCTTCCAATATCATCGTCATATGACTTTATAGATAACCTGTTATTAAACTTTAACCACAAAGGGCATTTTCAGAGCTATCCTGAACTAAAGGGATATGTAGCGTTACTAGCACGAAGCCGGCAGAATAGCATGAAAGTTTTGGAGTATCTCACCGAGTACAAATGGTTGACATACAATACTTCGGCTGTATTTATGGACTTTACTCTTTACAACGTTGATGTTAACATCTTTAGTGTGTGCACATTACGAGTAGAACAAACTCCATTTGGTGGTATTATACCTCACGTTGATGTAGATAGTGTAAAATTGCTGGAAAATCTGGATCAGCTTACTCACTATGGGCTGCTTACATTATTATGTTATGTAATTGTCGTCATACAGTTTTCTAAGGCACTTGTTTTGAAACTTTGGTATGAACCAGCTGAGTTGCGTAGCATGTGGAACAAACTTGATTTGGTAATTTTTATACTCAATATTGCTGTGGTGACTTTGATTATTATTCGGGAATGGCTGGTTTCATCCATGTTAAAAAAAGTCGAAGGCGCTAGTAAAATGGAATTCATTGATTTTAGACGACCAACGCGTTTGCACATGTTTATCACATGGGTTGTTGGCTTTCTGATCTGCATTACAACTTTGCGCCTATGGAAGGTACTACAGTTTGCCAGTGTGTTTCAGTTATTTACGCACACTCTTTACTTGGCTTGGAAGGCAGTTGCCAGCACTGCAGTTGTTATTGGTATATTTCTTATGGCATTTGGAATTGCTGTTGTAACAATTAACGGAAATAATAGCTCAAATTTTAATCGGCTTGTCAAGAGTATTGTTACATGTATGTGCTTTTCATTTGGTTTCAGTTCACAAGTAACACCAGAGGATCTTTTTCACGGTGGAGAATTTTTGGGTATATTGCTTTATGCTATCCTGGCATTTGTAATTGCAGTATTACTTATCAATGTATTCGTCTCACTTATCAATGACTACTTCACTACGGCGAAAGCGCAACGAGATGCGCGGTCCGTACGTCGTATAAACTTTATACAATTTCTGCGAGTGGAATATGCTAACTTTTTTCGATTTTTTCACAAGTTACGGTTCTTTCGTAAAAGTTACCATCGCAACAATCGCACGGTTTCAGAAAATATCAAACATGATTTAGATGAGCGCGAAAGTCATAAACAAAAACAAAGAAAACTAGAGGCGTTTGCCTCCAAAAAGCATGTAACAAAAGTGGATGAAAGTTTAGCACAAGAGGAATATAGACATCGTCTTGAACGCTTGTACACTATTGCAGCTATAATGCAAACCCAAATTGAAATACTCGAACGTATTCTCTTTACCGACAAAGAAGGAAATCTGACGAGAGACGACGAAGGAAAAGCAGGCGAACGACAGAGAGATTATCGCATGAGCTAAGCTTTTTACTCGAAAGCAAAAATTTAATATTTAATCACGTAAATTTATTTATATTTTAAATGTTTGAAATAATGTGATGTTTTGCTGAGATAAATTGTCTGTGCGAATATGCAGTAAAAAATAAATTTAAAACAATTGTGTTCTCGAGAACGAGTTGTTGGACTAAATTTCTTACAAAAAGAAACTTCAAAATTTTTTTTGGTTTACCTGGCGGTTAACTCGATTCTGACTTTAACTTATCAAATGCGGCATAACGCTTTTCTTTAATTGATCAGTTTTGGGAAGAGGAAAAAATCTCAGAGACCCCAATCTGATGAATACGGTGGTTGAAGCGTGATTACGGTGTTGTTTCTGATAGCTGGTGCATTTTATACTCTTTACATGAAATGTACACAGAGTATATTAGGTTTGCGGGAGCTGAAAAATGTAACAGGCAGAAGGAGTCGTGGCAGACCCCACAAAGTATATATACTTGTATATATATTCTTCATCAAGATGACAAGACGAGTCGACCTACCCCGTCTGTCTGTCTGTCCGTATGACCACATGGATCTCAGAGACTATAAGAGGGAGAGACACCAAAGATGCCTTACGTGTGTATGCTATACGAGTTTGTTTTATTTTTTTTATTCCCCCCCCCCCCCCCCACTTCCCCCTATGGGGGTTGTCCCGATTTTCCATTCGTCTAATCGCCTATATCTCGGATACTGTATGGGCATTTCATGATACTTAAGTATAGATTTAAGTTTGTTGAAACAATCTGAATTGTAGATATAAGTTGTTTGAATTATCATTGAATTGTAAACTTAAGCCGTTTGTAAGTAATTAATTGTAAGCGCTCATAAATGTTAATTTGTAATAACAGCTGTTTATGTTAGTCTCTTGGTCGCTGTTAAGTTAATGTCCACATTATGTTATGCGTGTGCTAAGCCTTGCATGGCTAGCAATAAAGCATTTGAAAATTGGAAGTCGATTTGGGCAGTTTATTTATTTGTTTCGGTGCTCTTCAGTGCATACAGAAGCCAGTGCGTTCGTGCATATAAGTACAAGGGTACTTATATACACACATACATCTTTGGTTGATCGTCGCGACGAAGGACCCCTTCAATTTGCTTACCGACAACTTTGGATGATCTGAGCGATCAGATACTATAAAACATAGGAACACCAAATTTTAGTCCATGATGCCTTTTGTGAATATGCAGAAAATGTGTATTTAGGAATATTCCTCCCTCCCCCTTCTACCAAGCAAATCGTAACTCCCGTAATACTTGGAATTTTGAACTCAAATTTGGGAAATACCTGCAGTTAGTCATTATAAGCTTGAATTGTAGATATAAGTTGTTTGAATTATCATTGAATTGTAGACTTAAGGCGTTTGTAAGTAATTAGTTGTAAGCGTTCATAATTGTTAATTTGTAATAACACCTGTTTATGTTAGTCTCTTGGTCGCTGTTAAGTTAATGTCCACATTATGTTATGCGTGTGCTAAGCCTTGCATGGCTAGCAATAAAGCATTTGAAAATTGGAAGTCGATTTGGGCAGTTTATTTATTTGTTTCGGTGCTCTTCAGTGCATACAGAAGCCAGTGCGTTCGTGCATATAAGTACAAGGGTACTTATATACACACATACATCTTTGGTTGATCGTCGCGACGAAGGACCCCTTCAATTTGCTTACCGACAACTTTGGATGATCTGAGCGATCAGATACTATAAAACATAGGAACACCAAATTTTAGTCCATGATGCCTTTTGTGAATATGCAGAAAATGTGTATTTAGGAATATTCCTCCCTCCCCCTTCTACCAAGCAAATCGTAACTCCCGTAATACTTGGAATTTTGAACTCAAATTTGGGAAATACCTGCAGTTAGTCATTATGTGTCCGTATGACAAGATTCACTATGATAGACCGATTTAACAAGAAGTTATAGCCATAAATATATTATATTACGTGAGTTCGAATACCGAGAGAGGTAAAATCGATCAATTTTTTTTAAATTTTCTTAATTTTTATAGCCTGTACCCAAAGGGTGAAAGGCTATACTAGTTTTGTGCGCATGTATGTAACACACAGAAGGAGGCGTGGCAGACCCCACAAAGTATATATATTCTTGATCAGGATGAGAAGACGAGTCGATATAGCCATGTCCGTCTGTCCGTCTGTCTGCATGAGCGCAAGGATCTCAGTAAGTAAAAGAGCTAGGATAACCAAAATTGGTATCAAGGTTCCTATAAGCCCTAGGCAGAACGAGTTTGTTTATTTTTTCTGATACACCCCCCCCCCCCACTCCCCCGCAATTCGTATTTTTTCTTACAACTTCCGTAATTCTCGGAATTTTAAATCATTTGGTAGGTACATCCAGGTAGTACTAATGTGTCCGTGTGCCAAATTTCATCATGATAGGTAAATTCTGAAGAAAGTTATAGCCATAAGTAAAATCGCTGCTCATGCACTGCCTGCAGCTCTGTCGGCAGCGCTGCCCGCAGCTGTTGTTGTTGTTGCTGCTTTTGTTCAACTTTGTGCTGCATACATACACGCATATAAACACGCATAGGTACGTGATGTAAATGTATGCTGTTTAAACTGAACATAAACATGTATTCTAATTTAATTAAATTAATTATTTTAATTAATTCATTCATTCATTTTTTTTAATAATTTAATTTTTTAATTTTTTTTTTTTTTAATTTTTCCTTTTTTGTGGAGAGTACAGGCTATTTTACTGTCGGGCTTGCTCGACTGTAGCGTTCTATCTTGTTTTAATTTCTGTAATTATTCTAAACATATGTTCAGAGTATTTCAAAGTCGGAACACCCGACTTTAGCTTTTTTACTTGTTTTATTCTGTTTTCTCCCATAATTCTTCAGAATGCACTTATAGCGTTGTTAGCTGATGCAACCGTTTAACACAAACGTTAAATCGCTTGTAAATATGCGATCAGCTGAGATACTAGAGATGAGTCATCAAATTATTCTTTGTAAATCGAATAATTAGGAGCATGTCGATATTTATGATTGTATTCATATGTATATGGTAGTCCAATTTTAAGGACCGATAAATGTACATAATATTACTTTTTCGTAAAATATGAATTCATTTTATGCAAATGTGGCTAACATTAACATTGTTATACTCTGTACATGAAATGTACAAGAGTATATTAGGTTTGCGGGAGCTGAAAAATGTAAATCGCAGAAGTAGGCGTGGCAGACCCCACAAAGTATATATATTCTTGATCAAAGTCCAAAAATTGATTTGTAGGACGCGCCGCGTGTTTAGATCTTTATCTTGCTTAGAGGCCCAAGTAGCAGTGGTTTTTTATTCGCCTATGCTATCAAGACATCCCTCAATATATCGACTTACTTCTCCCAAGTCACAGTTCTCTCGATGCGGAATATGACACCAACTCCGATCCATGAGAAACACTCCGAAATATTTATTTTGCCTCGACCATATTTGACGACAGCCAAAAAGTAGTAAAACTTATTCCAAAGTATGTACAATACTTTGGAATAAGTTTTACTACTTTTTGGCTTCGCATATATTTTCTACCATCAAGACCAAGTCGATTAATAATTATTTCATCAGTCCGGACTAAATATTTCCATTTCTTAAAAATTCAATCAACATGGGTTCCCGCGTCGTCGTCTTTGCGCAATTGTCACCATTTGCGTGATGCATAAGTTTCGCCGATGGACCCTAGCCTCAACCAAACGACCAGCGCCCGCATCTTAAGATATTGTTGCATCATTTTAATACCAAAATTCAAGCTGAATATATACAGAGCCCTTACGAGGATCCAAATTACCCATTCGAACAACCTTGCTATCCTTGTGCTCCGATATTTTGCGTAGTCTCTTTTTGCGTGGAATATTTTCTATTGTGATGCAAAAATTTTAACATATATTTTCTTAGTTTTTAGGATAAGCGTGGTAAGGCAAATGTTACGGGTAGAAATTGGGTAGACAGTTGGCACATCTTTTTAAAGATGATAACTATCGCCACGATGAGACCAAATCCGACAACCCAGGAGGTGATGCTGATACCATAAAGTGCCATTTGATGTGTATCGAGATGAATCGGGAAATCGAAGATTGTTTTGATCCTTGGGATATCACGTACCTTAAATGTTTTGATTTCACCCTCTACCTGCATATGGCTTATTTCAGGAAATGGGCTGGACAGATTTACTGTTGGTAGATGGAAGTTAACATCAATAGTAGTATCCTCGTATGCGCACAAGCATCCTGTATTAAGTTGAAGGATCCTTTGACCAAATATGGTGAGGCTTGTGAAGTTGAGCCCATTAATTTCGAGGGTTCATCACGTTAACCTGGCAGGTAGGCGGCAGCGTTTTTGTTTTTAGTAAAAGTAATATGTCGCAATTTGTACCAACGTTAACGTGTATATTGGGTGGATTTGCGGACATAATAGCAGCCTTTCCATCTTTTGGCAGTAATTTAGATTCCCTTCTGTTAGTCTATAGAAACTGGCTGAGTTGTCATCGACGAGTATTTGAGTAAATTCGGGCTGAATACTGACGAATTTTCCATCGTGTAATGTGGGATATGGGTAGATTACATAAGCTCTCATTTTATTGTGATTTATTAATGGGATTTTTATGTTAAATAACAGTAAGGTACTTGTAGCAATTTTGCAATTTTTGCAATTTTACCCAGCTCGAAGGGATCCGTATCTGGTAATTGGACGCCCTCAGCCATATTTAAAGCCATGACTTGAATCTGCTGCTCAAATTGCTTCAAAGGCATCAAGCTCCCCAGAAAATTCCCCTTAGTGTTCCAGACTACTGCGATGATGTCCCGCTGCAACTCTTCGAAGGCATCCATTCCAATTGAAACGCTTTCTAATGCGGCAAGAATGTTATCGTTGTCTAGTTTCTTATTTATAGCACTTGACAACGTATACATCGTGTTGTTAATAACTTTGAAATTGTCCCAAATGACTTCATTCTGTTTCCGCATAATGGTTATTGTAGAATCCTACACTGATGACTGGTTACGTATTAGGTCCCGGAAATACTCCTCGTTGTCTCTGCTCTTGTAACGGGTATAGGACATATCCCATTAGATTAGGCGAGATGGTGTGTGTATGTTTGAGAGCGCACGCTATGTGTTCCGGCTC